GCGTTTAAATACCATGGAGCCATGACCCGTTTAAATGGTTCCTTTAGGCGTCTAGAAGCAAAGGAGCGGTGCAGTTAAGCTGCTAGTGTAAAGTGAGGAATAAAGTTTATTTTCTTTACTCTGTACATTTTCGCCGTATCAATCCGATATCAATATTTTTAATCTGATGTATAGCAAGGTCCTCCAGAATATTGAGGTCATATTTTGTTCATCGTTCCTCAAGGGATTGTGGCAATCTTCGTTGAATATCTTTTTATTCGGCTCCAATGTGAGACGCGGTCCTGCGTTGTATGCATTGCAGGCGCTTAAATACCACGGCGCCTTGACCTGCTTAAATGGTCCCCTTAGGCGTCTAGAAGCAAAGGCATGGTGCAGTAGAGCTGCTGTTGCAAAGTGACAAATACACATTTCTTGCTTTACACTGTGCATTTTCGCCGTTTCAATCCAGTATTATTATTTTTAATATGTTTGATTAGTCCTCTGGTTTTTCGTTTATTATCTGACAACAGCTTATTTCATTCCAAGCTTCATTTGCAACTGTAATGCTGTGTGGTATATTAAATCGTTGTCATGAGAGTAGCAAAGAACTGCTTTAAACCATTTTAAAGTTTCAACTGCACTTGTTCAGTTGAAGCTTGGTTGTTGAAACATTTTCTTCAACGTGTTGCTCATCTTAATATTGTTTTGTTCGTCCGTTCGAATAGCCACTTATGCGCCCTATTCTATCACGTCACCTTCAACGTTCTAACGGAACTCGTTGAGTCTTACACCAGGAGGCGATTAAGATGAAATGAGGGTTGCAACTGGATTTCGGTTATTAGTGATCTTTGTCCTCATTAATCCCCAGAGAAGTATAATAAAATCTTTTCGTTATGTCCTCTGCCGTCTGAGCGAAGAATGACGAGTAATCAGTGCTTGAAGACATAAAGAAAACATGACATTTTGCTTTTTGATGTTTAAAACCTAGAATTTCCGGCATAATAATGTTAGAGCGAATCTTATATTTATACCATCACCCATCTGAAAGGACGACGAAATTTGCTCTGATGAAATTCTGAGCGTTAGAGCGAATCCGCGTCAAGCGAAGATTGACTTTGCTTGGTGATCGCCAGAGTAAATCATCTTTATCATCATACGGGTAACGTTGGAAGGCACTGTAACCATTTAAGACTCTCTCGTATAACAGCAGGACCAGAACTTATAGGAAATTTTAAGGAATAAACCAGAGCATCATTCTCTGCCAGGACCGTTTCTCCCGTTATGAATGTCCTTTTCTCAGCTACTTGTACTGAAGCCCATTTTGATAAGTACTCCATGAAAAATGTAGCAGTGAATTGCAACGAATACCCATTTGTCAAGCACGCAACTGCTACCGTAGCCGCAGTGATCTTGTATCTTGTTTCAAGAATTCCACCTGGTTTCGCCAGCTAGTACATAAAGTGTAATGCCTACCGTAGGATTCCATAAGTCTGCCTATCCACTGACCTTCATCTTTGGACCTGTTCCCTGCCAACGTACAATTCTGTAGATTTTTCTGGGGGAGTGCAGAAGAGGAATGACAGCAAGGAAATACGAGATTATGTGTATAAGTCCATAAGTCCTTTTACTTTGTCATTATATAATGAGCTCTACCAAAGTGTTATACTGGAAATGGCAAAACCCATAGTATCTTGTTAAGGAAAGAGATTTGCGTTATGGAAGGACAATAACACTGAGTGTAACAATCCACGCTCGTATAAGCAAGGAAATGAAAGTTTGCAACCGTTGGAATGTTGGTCTTCTCTGCCCTTTTATGATGGGGCTGTGCTATTTCTGACACTCTTCTTTTCACCAAAGTTAATAGTGGGGCGTTGTTTTCCGTTTCGATGCTATCAGCCCGGAGTGCTTGTTTCCAAGGCGGAATCTACAACTGTTTAGCATGCACAGCGTGTCGTCTCCTGCCTCCTCCCAGCTGAATGACAGCAATTTATTAACTCGGTGGAAAAGAAGGCGAGTGATATCACCCGAGGTGGAAGGCAGGACCTCTCGATTTTTAGTCTGACTGAATCACTGACTGACAAGCCCAGTCAAGTATACCTCTACAGTCAAGAGTATAGCACGTGCTTATTGTCCTTATCATAATCATCAATGGATAAGACTGATCTGAAAAAGAAGAAAAATAAAAGGAAGAAAAACAA